TGGCAGTGAGCTGGCAGTTAATTAGATAGTGGGTCATACAGGGGTATTGATCGGGATTGATCGGATCAAGATGCTCCGTGATCCGGTTGATATCCCTCCTGCAACAGGTACTATTTCCTATTAGGATGCTCCTATAAGAGGATAGCTGTAATAACTCTATTAGAGGCGTCTATCTTAAGTTTTAGAGGCTACTTAGGATAGAAGTAAGCTAAGCTTAGGATTGCTAGCAGGGCATTCCTAAGCTAGTTAAAGGCTTGTTAGCATTCTAAAGTCTATGCAAATAGGGTAGCAGGGCTCTAGAGAGTAGTTAAGGGCCTAGCTGTCTTAGAGAAATTTTCTACAAATTGCTAGTAGAATCTAGTAAATCCTAGGAAGGACTTTACTCTAGTTATTGTCTTAGGAGCGGACTAGTTTTAGAGTACTTTAACTTTGTTAGGATCTACCTCTAAGCCTCTATTAGTAAGGATATATCTAAGGTAATAGGTATAGGTTATATAGAATTTACTTTTCTTAATATTAGCCTATAATCTAGTAGAATAAAGACGCTTAAGGACTTTTTAAATATAGTCCTTATAAGTAGCAAGGTCTTTAGAGTAGATAAGGATATTATTTAGATAGGTAATATAGAAGTTATCTAAATAATCTATTAGTATATTATTTATATAGCGCTAATAGGTTATAGGTCTATTATATAGCCTAAATAGTAGGACTTTGCATTTATAGGCACTATACCTAGTGCAGAAAGTAGTGTACTCCTCTAAGTTAGGGTCTATTTAGATCTTATTAAAGGTAGCACAAATATCTAGCTTAGTAAAGATTTTTACTTTAGCTAGCTAGGATAATAGATTATCTATATAGGGTATTAGATACGCGTCCTTTTACGTTAAGCTGTTAAGCTTATAGTAATCTATATAGATCCTAAGGCCTCTATTTAGCTTCTTAATATATAGGATAGGAGAGGCAAATAGGCTCTAACTAGTCTTAATAAAACCTTTCTATAGGTGCTCTTATACATATTCCTTAGTAGCCTAGAGTTCCTTAGTATTTTAGCGATAGAGGGGACTCTAGTAGTTTAGTAGGGGTTCCTCTAGGACTATCTTATAGTTATAAGGCTAGTAGATTAGAAGTTTATTAGCCTTAGCATTATTAAAGATATCCTAATAGGAGTTATAGTTAGATAGGAGCTTCTAATCTAATAAGCTATAGTTAAGAGTATCCTATTTAGATAGGGTTTAGATCCTACGCTTAATCTTATATAGGCTAGTAGTAAAGAATTTATTAGAAGATTTTTTTATATTAAAATAGAAAGTATTAGCAGAAATAGTAGTAATTTAGAATTTTGTAGGTAGGGTAATAGTTAGTAATTAGACTAGGGTAGGTAGCGTAATAGGTTTAGTAGCAGCCCTATAAGTAGCTAGAATTTTAAGTATACTACGTATCCTATTAATTAAACTAGGACTGTTTTAGTTCTAGTTCTCCTCTTAATCCTAAAGGGCGTCTCTTTATAAGATATTGTGGGTAACTAGAGTAGATAGTACTTGCTAGTAGAGTTGTACTAGAATTAGAGGTGCGGGGTTATAGGTTAGAGGATATTTCTCTAGCTAGATTAGTTAAGATTTATCTATATTAATTAGGATTTAGAACTGTTTTAGCTAGTGTTGTCTAATAATATAATCCTAAGAACCTAAGTCTACTATTATAAAGGGGCAGTTATAAACCTTTTAGCTACTAACTATTATATAAAGCTAAATATAGTAGGCAACTAGGGAGGTAATCTAATCCTAGAACCCTTTAATAGTAAGCTTGTATAGTAGCTTTTAGATAGGTACCCTAAGTGTAGAAGAGATATTATAAGCAATTTTTAAATTAAGAAATAAGTAACCTTAGGCCCTAGTATCTACTAAAGCGTTTAGGCAAACACTAGATCTATTAAGGTATAGGGTTATACGTATAAGCAAATAGGAACTAACAAATAATTTAGTTAAGGAAAGGTTTAATAGGTTATATTAAGTTAGGCCTAGAAAGGAGGATCCTCCTAGGCGTTATTATTTCCTGTCTAATAGCTATCTGAATTAGTTAATATAGTAGTTTCTTCTTCCTTAGAATTCTTAATAACCTATTCTATATCTATAGCCTAAATCCTAGGGGGTTTAGGGCAATTACTAGAGAAGTGCCTAGGCTTTCTACAATTATAGCAAGTTACTAGGGTTCCTATTATAGTAGCGCTAGGAGTAGCTAGTGTAGCAGATAGGAGTTAATTATTTTAAGGGGTAGTGCCTTATTATTATAAGTAGGGCATATAAGGTTTAGCTATTAAAGGTCTATTATAGGGTTTCTAATTAGCGTCTAAATAGGACTAGTTTCTAGAGTATTAGAAGGGGGTTAGTCCTTTTCTAGATAATAGAGTAGTCTAGGTAGGAGCAGATAAGGTAGGGTATAGGCAGCGTTCTATATTAAAAGCAGTAAGATAATCTACTATAGTCTTAAAATTATTATGCTAATTCTATTAGAAAGCAAGGTTTAGTATCCTTAGGAAAGGTGTAATCTTTATCTAGAGGTAGTAATACTACTCTAATTAGGGTACTTCTCCTCTAATAGTAAGACTATAGAATTATAACTTAAAAGTAGGGAACGTCTCTATATTAGTTATATATAGGCAGTTAAATATAGTCTAACTCTTAGCTATCTTATTTCTAGTAATAAAGTAAGTTTAAAGGAGGGTAATTATTTCCTTAGCTTTTTAGAATTAAAGACTTAGGGAATTAGATAGGCAACGTGGCTCTAAGTATTCTCTTGCTAGTCCTAAGCAGTGTCCTTAGACTAACGCTATCTAAGCTCTAGAAAAGGGCTAGTAATTAGTATTAATCTCTAGCCTATCCTAAATAGATGCTTGCTATTATCTAAAAGTAGGATTAGCACTATTACTAAGTATAGAGATATTTAGCGTCTTTTTAGATTATCTCTTAGCTTTTATAGTATATACTATAGGGTTTAATATAGTAGCTAAAGACTAGCCTAGTTATATAGTACCCTATATCTCCTCCTAAAGGGAGGTGTTGTATAACTAATTAGTAAGTTGCTTAACTTATTTCTTTAACCTCTTCTTTTTAGATAGGGTTAATATATATTTATCTTTAAGGGAGGTGTTACTTTAAGATCTCCTAGGAGTATAAGGTACCTTAAGAGATAGATAGGAAGTAGGTCCTTCTAGGAGGGCGTTATTAATTAAGTCTTCCTTATCTAATTTCTTTCTATTAGTAAATAGGCTTTTAAAAGTAGCTAAACTAGATGCCCTTCCTTTGCCTTTATCTAATATTTTTGTAGTTAATAAGAATAATAAATCTTTTTTTTTTAGGGGGGGTTTAGTTATAGGAGGATATTAGCTTTACCTCTAATTCCTCTAGGCTTTTAGTAGTCTCTAGGTCTCTACCTTAACGTAATCTAACGCGATTTTTTAAAAGGTAATCTAGCACTACTTATAGGTCTAGAAGTCTAAGCCTATAGGCTTTAGTTATTAGAAGTTCTAATAGCTATTCTAACTAGGGAGTTATAGGGTTAGGTAGCTACTAGAACTAAATTAGTAGCTTAAAATAATAACAAGTGCGATATTCTTAAATACTATTACTAGCTAGGATAATATTCTTCTTATAATATAATAACTTAGGTAGGTAGGGTATCTAAAAGGTATCCTATATAACTTAAAGGCATATAGGAGTGCGCGTCTATATAGAAAAGGATAAGATTCCTACACCTATAGGTCTTGTACAAAAGGACAAGAAGAACATGCCTATCCTAACTATAGGCGAGCTGTTCTCTATATATATTAGTAAGTCAGGCCTTTATTAGGCCTAACTTAGCATAGAATAATAGGCAGGCAATTCTGCCTTATTGTTACAGTTAGTATCTAAAGGGTAAGCTAATTTAACCCTTTAGATATATAACACTCTAATTAGCTACACTACCTACTAACTATAAGCGTAACTATAATAACTAAAGATCTACCTATACCTAGGGGGTGTGTTACAGGAGGGATATTAACTAGATTATAGAGTATCTTAATCTAATTAATCCTAATTAATCCTTATTAATACCCCTGTATAACCTACTATCTAATTAACTGCTAGCTTACTAACAAGTGCCTAATAAAAAGCAGGAGCTCTAGTAAGGAAGGTTTACTAATTATTCACCTTCTAGTAAGGGTAGCTAAAGCTCTATATATATAAGTCCAATCGTAGTAGATACAATCTAATAATCTATCTCCTAAATCATTCCTGACCTTAGTGATCCAAATTTCCACAGATAGGATAGGTCAGGCCCTGGGGCCAGAGATCCTATCTACCACAGCAGGCACAAACACCCAGCAGCAATAGGCAACAATATTCAAACACCAACAAGCGACAAATCCCAGCCCTCATCCCTTATACTGCCAAAGTTGTACATGTACATTGTACACTGCGCACACCCTATACCTCTCTACCTTGCTATCCCCTGTACAAAAATTCCAGCCATGAACTGCACATCGTCTAGCCCATCTTCCTACCCCGTGCAACACAAACCACAATCTACAAACCACAAACCATATACCAATATAACTACCACTACCACTACCAACAGGCATACAAAGACAGCAAAGTTCCACAGCAGTTACAACTAGCACGACTGCCAGCTGCCAGCATAGATAGGTACTAGCACAGCTACCACAGTATATACTCGCGCATGTATGAATTAGAGGATTGGGGGGTGGTATAGTTTGTTATAACATGGTATGGTATAGTATGAAGTATGAAATGGTTCTGCATACTAAAACTACTCCAGCCTCACAGTCTGATTCCCATGGGAGACAGAGTTGGCGAATTCCAAGTACACCCCCTTGCCCTCGAAAAAAAAAATCCGCACATCGTTAAACGGAGAAGAAATGGCACCCATAACATCCAACACACTACACTAGCACATGATGCCCAACGCCCACGCATGCACACTCCAGCCTCCTCCATAGAGCATCACAGTCCATCCACACCCAAGACCAACTCACCTATCCCCTTCCCATCAACACCAGCCACGCCCCTCCACCTACTCCTCTGTCGACTCCACAACTCGACAAGCCAGTCATGGGCCGACGTCTCGATATCGATGGGTCCGGGGCAGAGTGGAAGGCGCTGTCTGAAAGTGTCCTCGTACGCGCGGATAGCCTCATGGGCGACGAGTTCCTTGAGCATGCGGTCGAGCAAGTCTGTGGCGAATCGGTGCTGCTCAGGGACCCTGGATCGTAGCGTCGAGGCTGTCGTCTTGGCGGCGTGAAGTGTGCCCTGGTTGACGAGGTGGAAGTAATGGCGCTTGTAGACTTCCATGGACTGGTCGGAGGGTATGGAGAGGGAGCCAAGGTGAGTGAAAAGTAGCAGCGGTGTCTCGGTGTAGTTCCAACTATCTGATATGTTGATGGAATTCCGGTAGAGAACCTGGACATCCAACAGGTGGACCTTGGTGGCGCCGCGGATGATGGCATTCTGCAAGTCCCGCCTTGAACCTGTGGCGTCGAGACTAGAGTTGAATACTGGATTCTTCGATTCCATATCCACAGCTCGAGTCATTGCCTTGGTGACTCGAATACGAGCGAAGAAGGTGTGTACTTGGCCAAGACGCAGCTGTGTGCCGTCTCGACTTATATCACACCGGACAATCTCACAGCCGTCCCTGGCCCGCAGATCGATGGACAGGTCGGTCACTTCCCCAACTGGTGCCTCGGAGCGAGCATTCTTCAGGATGCGCTTGATTCGATTCGCAACAGACTCTTGGGAACTCCAGTTGCTGCTGAAGACGTTTTTACAGCATGATTCTCGACAGACAGCGTCTTGCGGCTCCGGTTCGCGGCGGTAGGGAAGTATGGCAGAATTGATCCGATGAATGAAGACATCAGGAAAACACTTCGACATGTCGTGCAGAACACATGGAGCGGGCGAGAGTAGGAGGATATGTGTACGCCTCTTCTTCAGACCTTGGTCCTCTAGCGATCTCATTATGCCGAGTATGACATCCGTCATGGATGGATTAGGACGCGGTGGCTTCCAACCCTGCGTACCATGATGTGCAATGCCAGTGATCAGATCTCTAAAGATATCCTCGACGTCATTAGCAAATGGACATAAGGGATAGTGGCGATCTGGACGATTCCCCGTGACTTCCTTGTGAGTGCAATGCGTCGTGTAGAGGGCCAGACGATCGCCACGAACTAGATGATACAACGTCCCGTTGGCGGCATCCAGCGCCTTCTCAAGACAAGATCTTGTCACGTAGTATCTGCGCAGTCGATCAGTCTAAGACACTCCTTTCCGTTGGCATGAAGCATACCCGTTGTCGACAACGATGATGACATCGACCGAGCCATCTCGCCGAGGCTTGCGATTGTGCAATACGCCTTCGATGTTAATCGCAATGTCCATCTCTTCAATCCCCTCTGTAAGCACTTTCTTCTCTGCAAACACTCTAACTGCTGTCCGCAATGTCGTTGGCAGTTCAGAGGAAATGTACGGTACCAGAGCATCTAGCTGTTCAGGCTCACACTCGGCCAGATAAGGAAGCCGTTTTTCAAGCCGATCAATGATCCGCTCAAGTCTGGTCCCGCTACAATTATCAGAATACATACAAAATCAGAGGGATAAACCAGCGCAGTCATCAAGTGGGATGGTTGTTAGGTCGGGTAATGAAACATACTCTTTCGTGTTGTTACGGATGTAGGACTCGACAGCTTCGTCGCTTGGCTCTCTCTCTTCTGCGCCTTCATACACGGGACTATGGGGCGCAAGCGTGTCCTCGACCGATGAAGAGAGGGCAGTTGACGTATCATCGGCACTTGCACCCGTATCACCGGTACCCATTCGGCGCCGTCGTGGGAACCCGTTGGTGAAGAAGCGCAATCGGGATGGGCGTCTTCTCGTTGCGTCTGAGCGATGCGCCCCATTGTGAACAACGTCTTGTAGCGTCTGTTGCGCAGTCGGGCGCTCTGAGCCGCTGGTACGATCTGAAGGCTGTGGTGCAGATGTAGACTCGTGCGACACCATTGGATCAAGCGGCGGCCATGGCAGTGGGCCTACTGGACCACCGCGCAACCCCTCGTCCTGACTGCCTTTGCGCCACCGAGTCATTGGATCACTCATACTCGAGTCCGACGCTGATGAGCGGCTGTTCCTGTTCTTGTGAATCGTTAGAGGCTGGTCGCTGGGCATATGGCTCAGAGGCAAAGGCGTCATGGTCCACATCGAGGGTGCTGTAGGCAGCTTCTCCCACTCAACAACGGATTCAGCAAAACTGTGGTCTGGCGGTGACTCCCAGATGTTGCTTTTGATCACGTCGATGATATCGTCCAGTGGACCGAAGACGTACTGGTCGTGACTTTCACTTGGGACTGACCTTTGCAGGATACGTCGACGGAATGTTGCTCTGCGTGGCTTCTTCTGGATAGCAAGGGGAGGCGGACAGAGGATTGCGTAAGTGAGGTCAATGTCGTTGGTTGCTGAGGTTGCCATTGTGATTGTGCCGAGTGCAAACGGACAAGCTTGTCCGCTCGTCTTGGTCGTCTTCACCGTGACTGTGACTGTGACTGTGACACGCTCACAGTGCCCAAGGGGTAATTCTGTGACGTCAGATGAATCTTAGAGGTTTATAAGATGCGGATGATAAGAATTGCAGCTAATGTTCACTTGGGCCATCTGGTGAAGGAAGTATTCGAGAGGGTATCGTGTGAGAGCACATTTGTGAAGGCAGCTCACCGTCCAGGCTGCCCAGAAAGAGCAACAGATGCGGAAGGTACACACAGACATGTAAACAAGGTCAGGCGCACCTACCACATCACAAGAAACATTGAATCGTGTCGACAGCAGACAAAGACGAGCGATATGCAGGTGCAGAATGATAGTTGTCGTAGCCAGAACCTTTCAAGAGCATCGGGTATTACGTCTAGCCATCTCGCAGTCTCCATAAAGAAAAGCTCCCTAGGCCTCGGTAACATTTCTAGACAACGCTTCCAGCTTGATTTTCATCTTGTCTAGTGATTCTTCATCGCCATCGCGGAAACGGATCTGTTCACGTGTAAGCCAAACTGCAGAAAGTTATGGTGATGCCTTTGAACCATACGATATCGTCTCCCACACTGGTACCATATAGGACAGAGTCCAAAAGACTAGCCTTGACTGCTTTCTTCACGCGCTCTTCCCAGACCCCCTCCCAGTTCCAAGCCCCTGGGCGGCGGTTCCTACCCAGCGTCGAATTCTCTGCAGTGGCCTTGTCGCCGTTGGCGGTGTGGGGACTTGGCGAAGTCGGACTAGACTGCGACTTCAGGCCTCGATAGGTTTGCCATGCGTGATAGGCCCCAGGGTTTGCCGCTGCTTCCAATGGCAGGGCATCGAGGACGGAAGCATCACTAAACGTCGATCTCATATACTCGAGGACTCTGACCATGGAGATGTCTTTGGGGACAGAGGGGCCAATGGAGGCAGCAGGAGCGTGATGGGGAGCAGCGTCATCAGCCGGCGGCTGGTCAGAAGTCATCACGGCTGATGCACTGACATCACGGGAAGCCGGCAGTGATCTTTGAGCCCGTCTGAACCAGTGAGGGAAGCCGTGCCGAAGACTGAATCCACCGGGCGGGAGTCGTTCCTCATCGGTTGCGCTGACAGTATCGGTATCCAGGGAGCCCGTTGTGTACGTGTAGGTGGTGAGTGGCGTCAGCAGCGGGTGAAAGACGTCAGTGGAAAAGGTCACAAGGGGTGGTAAAGTCGGATATGTGGTTGGAAATGCAACCTGGAAGCGTAATACTGCAGGCGCATATGGACCTGCCTAGCGTGAACACATGAATCCATCCAGCATCAATGTCTGGGTGCAGTTGCGAGGTAACCGGCTGTAGGCTGTAGCAAGCAGAAAAACAAACAAATAACTCCACCACTCGCTTGGCCATGGGGTCGGTCAGGCAGTAATACCTTTACGAACGAAGATGACACCCACCCATAGAGAGGGGTCGCCAGGCGTTATGCTCACGAAGACACCATCTAATTGAGCGTAGCGCAGACTAGAGCTGTGCTCTTGTTAGGACCTGATGTGTTGTCGAGCCGTGGTGCCTCTTTGACTCACAACTCAACCAGGAGATGCTGCTTGCGGAAGGACGGAATGACTGGCAGCGATGTGGGCAGCGGCATTGTGCGAGTACAAGGCAATGATGACGATGGGGTGGTAGTAGGCTGTAGCTATGTCTGGGGGGGGGGGGGGAGCTCTTGGATAGCCCCGAGCGAGTGGCTGACATCAAAGGTGAGGGTGATCCAATTCATGTGCTTCTGCGCTAATGCATTGGCTGCCTTTCTAGCCGAGCTAGGGAACCGACTACCTGTGCTCTCTGACTTGCTACTACTACCTACACCCAGACAAACCGTCGTCAAACTCACCCAACACCACACAGTCCTCCCAACCCTCACCGGGACGAGGTGAAGGAGATGCGCGCATCGATATGCAGAAACGACGTGGCAATGCAGCCCAGCCGGGCGTGTTGTTGCCCGGGACATAGTGGGGTGGACCCGAGTGTGTGTGTGTGTGTGTGTGTGTGTGTGTGTGTGTGTGTCTCTGTCTCTGTTCTTGCGCCTTTCCTCTTGCAAAGACGGCTGCCGCCTGAGAAGAGAGAAAAAACGAAAAGATGTTTATTTTTAATTAAAAAGCTACAGTAACACGCGGATAAGAATCCTTTCCTTGGGGCAAGCCTCCCGCTTGTCTGCCGTTGCATGGCCGTTGCCGCACCGGCGAGGCGCCTCTTTCTGACCATGGGAGAAAGAGGGGGCCGTAGGCGTACGGGTACGGTACATCACTGCCAGCTTTCCTGTGTGCTGTGCGCGCGGGAGTTTTGATCCGCGCACACAAACCACTAAGGATGCAGGTGGCAGGCCATAGCACAGCATGCAAAATAGGTCCCGTATTCTCGTCTCGGATTACCTGTACATGCAAATGTGAGTTCGTCGATCCAGGTTCACGGTCGCTGGCGGCACTGCACTGCACTGTGCTCCAAGCCTTGCGCGCGAGGCCATCACCTGACAGACTGGCATGTCGCTGATTTGAGCAGCTGGTGCCTCTACGTAGGGTAGAAGGAAGCTGTACAAGTCTACCTAGGCCGTGGAACGTCAAGATGGGCGTGGTGGACTCCAGTTAGCCCCCGACTAGGTAGGGAATAGGTAGATAGGTAAGTAGATACTCTATGGGCAGCCGTGATGGTCTGCATCTGCGTCCACTGTTGCTGCCGAGTTGCGCAAGGGAGAAAAAGAGGGGGACGAGGAGCAAGAGGAGCGGCGTGGAGAAGGAGGGTGGCAGGACAGGGTCAAGCGTGCCATGACTTGGGCGTGAGAGCCGCAGGGTACCAGTGTGTGTACAGAGGTACTCCCTACATACAGCATGTACACTAGATGGATGGAGGATACTAGACAGAATTAGGCGATCGAGCCATGCTGTCGGTTCACGATGGCTCTCCAGCTCGTCACTTGCCATGCGACTAGCTCCTGTTGCATCTGCCTACCCCGTCCCTCAAAATTCCCTTCAGTCCAGATGCACGTCGACGCCAATCTTCTTCGGCATGTGTGAGGAGCGAGGCGGATGTCGACGTGGAGGCGAAGACCCCACTCTCGGAGCTTTGCTTACCGTACAGCATAGTCTGTCGACTACCGCTATGCTATGTACGGTAGGCAGACCAAGAGGCTAGGAGCGCATCATTCAAAGCGCTGCCGAAACAGTCCAGAAGACGCTAAGAAGGCCTGGCGGTCTGAAACGCTTCCTGGACCCTTGTCGACTCGCGTGGTAATCTGCAAGCCAGCCTTACAGTCCACACCGCCACCAGTCCATGCAGCATGCACCATGGCCCGTGGCATCCCCCCCTCCCCCTCCCCCCTTCAGCCCCTCCCCCATGCTCCATGCCCCTCCCTCATCGTCCTCATCGTCCTCGTCGTCGTCAAAAGAGTCGGAGATAGTGGACAAGACTGTCGTGCATGGCGAATGTCACGTTGAGACTTTGTCATCTCACTGGTCGTGGTACAGCGACTTGGGCAGCCTGCCGTTGCGGTGGGGTAGTTGAGAGGGATGTAGTGTGTGTGTGTGTGTGTGTAGACGCGGAGCTTCTTCCGGGCCCAGCAGACCAACAGCGTGTAGGTACAGTATACCGTATACAATACGCAATACCATGTACATAGTAGGTAGATGGGTAGATAGCTACTGTGTACTGTATGTACACACACCACTGCACAGTAAAGCCGTAGTGGGGAAACAGCTTCAAAGGACCCGATCCATGCTGAAATACTGATCCACCGGGCAGCAGCACAGGAGCCAGGGCGACGCAGATGGGCGCAGAACTAGGTCAGCTGATGGGCACTACAGGCGCTGGCTGTAGGGCGTTGCTGGCCGGCTTCACGATACCATAGGTCGAAAAAGGCTCAGGACGGCACAACTGGGCCCGGGCATGACAAGAGCATGTACCAAGACACGTCCTGCGACTCGGTTGGGCCCATGGATGAATGGATGGTGGTGGTGGTGGTAGTGGTGGGAGTTTCGAAATCACGCTGACCGCAAAGAAAGGTTACGTGGAGATGACAGCCGGGGCCAGCAAATCATATGGCTGACATGGGATGGAGCCGGGCGGTGATCTGAGGCCACGCAGCATCATGGCCTGTGCGTGTCGTGCAGGCTCCGGCGACGACAGGATAGCGATGCAGATACGGAGTCGATGGGCAGGAGATGGGCCTGCACACACAGGATCCGAACGGCGCTTACGACCATGACTATCGTGATTCTGTCGGCGCAGAGCAACACACGTCTGCCGGCTGCCATGCGCGTCGGCGCGTGACTGCTTGATGATGGGGCTTCTTTTTTTGGGGGGTCAAAAAGCCAGTTACAGCCCTTGCCGGATCAAGCACACCGCCAGTTGTAGTAGGTAGGAAGGTAGGTTTGTACTATGTATGTGTAGGTAGGGTAGGGTAGGGGTATGGAGGGGAGGAGGGGAGGAGGCCTGCTCTGCTCGGGTCGTTGCCGTGAAGCAATAGGTACAGTCCGCCAGTCCGTCCCTCACCCCCTCCAAGGCCCCCTCATTCACGAAAAGCATGACAACCAGCGCTGGCGAGGGGGGGGGGGAGAGGGGCCCCTTGCCGCTTGGTTCGAAACGTGCGCTTTCTGGAAATTCTGCGGCGACTCCTCGCCTGGGCCTGACTCGCAACACTCGATTAGCAAAAAAATCAGAGAGAGACGGAGAGAGAGAAGAAAAAAAAAAGAAAAAAAAAAGAAAAAAAAAAGGTTTGACCGGGCGCGGCGGCGGGCAATCATTTTGTGTGCCCCCTGAAGAGGCTGGTGTTTTGTGTAATACCTAGGTACTGTACATACAAACGTAGGTGCCCTACCTGCCTACATGGCTCATGAGGCACTTGTACGGGTGGGCTACATGGTAAGAGAGTAGCACTTGGGGTTGCAATGTGCGCACACACACACACACACACACACACACACACACAGCCAAAACATTGGGAGAGTGCGATGGAAGGGCAACTGCAGGCTACCGGAAGTGGGAACGGCGTCCCATTTGTCGGCGGGGAAGAGGGCAGAGATTCCGCTTTCCGCATCCGGACAGGCAAGAGCGGCGCGCCCAAAGGCCGGCAGGTTGTCGTTCGCGCCTGCGCCCCAGGGTGGCCGGGGGGTCCTGGTCGTGCTTGGTCGTCCTGGTCGTCGCTGCCACACCCCCCTTCCCCCTTCCCCCTCGCTGCCCTTGCCCCTGGTCGTCGCTGCCCTTGCCCCTGGTCGTCACTGTCTACATACATACCCTACCTAACATGTTGCTACGGTAGCCCGCCTATCACCATCACACGCCAAACATGCAAGCACCTACCTGTATACAGCCCTATGTAGCAATGGGTACCTGTGTAGATGTATGTATACTCTTATCATGACATGCATTTACACATGCAGTACAATACAATACAATGCAATGCAATGCAATACAATACAATACAATGCAAGGCAAGGCCATGATTGTGGCTTCTACTGCGTCCACTGACCCTAGTCCGACCATCCATGGTAAAGTTGACGACGGTAGTAGGTACCGTAGGTAGTTTGTAGGCAGGGAGCAGTACGGTACACACACACAACACACCCAGACAAGTACACACGGTACACGGTACACGGTACACGGTACACGGTACACGGTACACGGTACACACACAGTAGCACATACAGTTTTGAGCCACTGCGCTAACTCTCCTGTAACCGGTGCCCCGAGGACCTGGTAAGGCGCTAAGCAGGCCGGCATCCTCTTTTTTTTTTCTTTCTTTTCTCTTCTGCCACTCCATCTTTCTCCTCGTCGAAGCGAAACGAGCAACGCTCTTACAGTCCCACCTTACTCGGTTCTCGTTAGTGCTCTCCAATAGCATGGATTCCGCCCAACCCGTACCACTCTTGTCACCTTGTGTGAGCAGCAAAGCCTCCTAGCCCTGGCCCACGCTTCAGGGGTTGGGAGTCGGAGCTGGCTGGCTGGCTGGCTGGTGGTGGTGGTGGTGTTGTTGTTGGTGATGGTGGATCTGGTGGTACTCGTCGTCGTCGTCGTCGTCGTCGTCGTCGTCGTGCTATTCTCTTCTTTGCCTTTTCTACTCTGCCTTGTCTTGGGCTGCGGCTGCTGCGCGCCTACTCGCTACTGCGGCTGCTACTGTTACCTACTAACTGCTGCTGCTGTTGCTGTTCACACCATCATCGCCGCCGCCCTGGCCTTCCGGTGACTGGGAGACACAAAGCAAAGCCACGGCTAGTAGCCATCTGGCTGCCAGCACAGCGTCTTTGTGGCCCGCTGACGGGCACACTTAGACTGGCCTCGCTGGTACCATGGCACCGTGGTCCATGGATCTACTCTCATTTCACATTTGCTGGTCCTTCCGCTGTCCCTATCCGCCCACACTACGTATCCTTACCCACCACCATCATCACCGCCTCTTCTCCGTCTCCTCCCCGCCCCAACCATCCCTGTCCTTACCTGCGGGCCATCCGTTTCCACGACGCCACTTGAATCTTGCTTATATACCTTGTGACGCTCGCGTCCTTTTGCCAAAGTGACTCGGCCCTCTCAAACGCTCGACGTACTAATTAAAATCCGCTTCGACGCTCGCACATGTCTTACCTGTCTCCCATATTTCAACCCAGGACTCACCCTACTTCATCGCCATAGCCTTGTTGCCGTTCCCCTTGCAACCCTCTCTGGTCCTGCCACCTTCTCTCTCTGTCTCCCCTCCCCCCCTACCCTTCTACTGACCAAACCGCGTCCACAATGGCTCGATTTGGAGCTCCATCAGCTGCCATGAGCAAACACACATCAACAACAAAAACAACAACAACCCCCTTCCCTGCTCGACAGATGGCCGTCCTTGGTATGCCTTCCACATGATCAATACATCCTCATCCTCATCTTGTTGGAAACCCCGTTCCCTTGGCTAATGGCAACCAGCACTGTGTCGGATATGCGAGCCCATTGCCTTCATGTCCATCTTCCCTTATGCCTACTTCATGGTCGAATCGTTTGGCATCACCAGCGACAAGTCTCAAATATCAATGTACACGGGCATGGTCACCTCCTCTTTTGCCTTTATGGAATGCATCAGCGGCATCTTTTGGGGCCGTCTAAGTGACCGCGTCGGACGGAAAAAGGTGCTTCTGGGAGGCTTGTTTGGCACCGGACTGAGCATGTTGCTTTTTGGCTTTGCTCAGAACCTCCCCATGGCCTTGGTCGCCCGGGCTCTCGGAGGTTTATTGAATGGGTGAGGTCATCGTGCGGCTTAGCGCCAGAGAGAAAGCTTGGACTAACCGAAATATGCAGGAACATCGGCGTGCTCCAAACCACCGTGGCCGAGTTGGTGACAGAGGAGAAGCACCAGCGTACGTTCTTGTCTTCTGCAATCGATCGAGGGTTTGGGGGACACGGTCTACTGGGTTTTTGTGTGTCCATCATCATAGGCTAATTTGTGTTTGACCTCCAGCGCGCGCCTATTCCATCATGCCCTTTGTCTGGTGTCTTGGGTATGTCTCAAAACTTTACGTTGCGTCAGATCCGACTGACCGCCATTTTGTAGCACCATCATCGGAGGAGCGCTTGGCGGCTTGCTGGCTCGACCTGCCACCGTCTTTCCCTGCTTCCAAGACACCCTGTTCGACAGCTACCCGTTTCTACTGCCCAATCTCGTGTGCGCCGCCATTGTCATCTTTGGCTTGATTGTCGGTTTTCTCTTCCTGGAGGAGACGCACGAAGACCGCAAATACGACGAGGATCGCGGTTGTGAGGCGGGGCAATGGATCCTCCGCAAGCTGTGGAAGCGAGATGCAGCCTTGAGCGACAAGGATGCTTCGCTTGATGAATTGAGATCGATGCTCGAAGATCATCACGACGCACCGCCAGCCTATCGCAGCACCGACAGCTCGCCAACGCTATGCAGCACACGAACCTCCATTTCGGAACCTCCCCCTTTTTCCTTGGACAAGGAGGCAGCCGTCGTCGTCGCCGTGCCGACTGTGCGACAGGCGTTTACCAAGCAGGTCTGCATGAACGTCTTGTGCTACGGCATACTCGCCTTGTAAGCGATGCCCCCAACAAGCCTGGCGACGAAAACTAACCCAACCACCGCAGTCACACAATCTCCCTAGAGCAACTCTTACCCATTCTCATGTCAAAACCGGTGCCCGGCTCCGCTGACCAACATCTTCCCTTTTATTTCAAGGGCGGCTTCGGATGGTCGACGCAAACCAACGGCGGCTTCCTGGCCACTCAAGGCTTCCTTCAGATGTTCGCCCAGGTCATACTCTTCCCATGGCTGAGCAAGAAGCTCGGCAGTCTCCGCACTTTCTGGGTCGCCATGGCCCTGTACCCGATCTTGTACATGCTCACCCCTTACCTCGTTCTCCTGCCCTCAGCCTTGCGCATTCCCGGCCTGATGTTGCTATTGATTGGCAAAGTCACCTTTCAGTCCCTCTCCTACCCCTCCCTGGCCATCATCCTCGCCAACTCATCGCCATCCAAACGTGTTCTTGGCACCCTGAACGGTGTAGCCATGTCCACCGCTAGCATTTCTCGTGGCTTTGGTCCCACGATTTCGGGTGCGCTGGACAGCCTAGGCGACACAATGGGCATGACGGGTCTGGCCTGGTGGACCATTGCCGCCGTCGCCCTCCTCGGATGGCTCCCTGGACTGGCTCTCCAAGAGGGAGCCAAACGACCAAACTACACTTCCGTCTGCGACGAGGAAGCACTCCTGGACTCGGACACAGACTCGGTCATTACCCTGACACCCGAGGAGACGATCGAGAGGATCATTTCCAAATAGACGTTTAATACTTTGACGAACCCCCCTCCCCTTTCCCCCAAAAAAGATCACTTGGCGCAAAACGGCTTTTCTTTCATGGATGCGCGAATATCCCATCCCCCGGATCTGCGAGCGCTGGCAGCAACAAACCTTATCCTTTTCGGACCCTAGACTATTCCATTTATTTTTCGTTTTCGTGTTTCCCCGGATCTTTCCATTTATTTTTTACTTTTATGTTTTGGTATTATTCCCTTGCATCTCGTCAAGGCGCACACACAATATACATACACGGGGAAAGTTGCAACACAAGCAACAATGGGCTTTTTCAATCATGGGTGGCTCCTATTGGCTTTGGGCAAGACAGGTTCTTTTTAGAAGGAAAGCTCGGATATGTATTACCATCGGATGGTTACGAGCTAGGCGTTATTTCTTTTCTTTGCTTTTTTATTTGGGCTGCGCGCATCAAGAACAGAATACCCCCTTCCCTTTTCCCAACCAACGAATGGTTTTAGGTAGTTAGGCACACCTCCATGTAATATCCCTTTTTCATAATTCTTCCTCCTCTTTTCGTCTGTTGGATGGGTCCATTTCACGATACGGGGGCACAACGGTTCCGTTAGATTAGGATTCGGTGTGGCAGGGCAACACGGGCAAAAGGCAAACAAGGCACCCATAAGTCAATGCAGCACTCCAGACAACAAAGTTATGATTTATCTTTTTTTACGCCCTTGAATGCAAAGCAACCTCTTCTCACCGCTTCTCTCTACCCGCAAGAAACGAGGAAAAAGCAGGCAGGCAGGCAAGATAAGCACTTGGACAGAAAATATCGTTTATGCGTATACGACGAGAAAGGAGGCAAGGCTTCGGGGAATCATGTCAATCAACATGAACCTATTCATCTTAGCTTTTTGCTCTTCTTTCGGCCCTTTGGATGTTTTGGCGTAGCGCCGCGCTGAGGGCAAGGCAAGGGAAGCTGGGGTAGAAGGGGGCGGGGGCGGCAAGGCAGCTATTCCCCCCTCCCCCCCTCGTCCAATCCCACTCGATGCAGCCAGAGCTCGATTGAAATGATGGTCTATTTACCTGATACCGGTGCACTTGGGTAATAGGTGGCTAATTTTGTGCCTTTCTTGGGGAGTGCATTACCTACGTCTGCCCTGTCTATGTATGTAGGTATGTACTCTACTGGGTGATGAGATTTGCCCTTGTAGTTGGTGTGCGTTTTATCCCACCCCCTCCAATCCCTCCCCACAAACCCGTTGAAACCGTTTCTAACCCCTCCTTGTTGGTACAAGGCGGGCTTTTTCTAGATGCTGCGGCTGAGCTAACGTGAATGCTATCTCTTGTCGCAAGCCACGCAGAGATAAGAAATCTTGTCTCTCGGTTGGCCAACTCACTCAGTTGGCCTTGGATGTGCCGCTGTCAGCTATCTTTTTTGGGATGTGGCAGCTGCACGCTACAAAGCTCGACGGTAACGGATGGAGACGGAGATGGAGACGAAGAACGAAAAACGAAAGACGGCCAGGACCAGGACAAGGACAAGGACAATTTCGCGCAATTGCCCTGCCTCGGCTGTGGGTGTCACTAGCAATTCTATAGTCTCTGGCCGGCCGCGGTGGTCGCTGTGTGGTTCACGCTTGTCTGCTCTGTTCTCCACCTCTCTCTCTCTCTCTGGAGTCTCAGCCCTGTGGATACCACCTAAGAGAGTGCAAGAGTGCGGGGATTGCGACAATACCACGCCGAGCTTAGGTAGCCTGCCACAACGACGAGGCCGAGGACAACGACGGACTTGCCATGCGCCCTGATGAGTGGCCTCAAGCGCGCCCTCGACGAGTCGTCTCTTCATGATGGCGATCAGCCTGCTTCGCCCACGACCGACTCGCCTGCGTCGACAGTGAAGCCTTGCTCACCCACTGCACCCACTGCACCGCCCTCTACAACCACAACCACTTCCACCACCACCACCACCACCGCCGCCGCCTCCTCAAGCTCGTTCCGCAATGTGAGCGCCTGCAATCGCTGTCGCCTGCGCAAGAACCGCTGTGACCAACGCCTACCCTCATGCGCCTCCTGCGACAAGGCCAATGTCAAGTGCGTGGGCTACGACCCCATCACCAAGCGCGAGATTCCACGCAGGTACGGATAACTCTGTAGATGATAGAGAATAGAGAGCAGAAAAATAAAAGAAAACGTGGTGATGGAGGGACACACATGTCTCGAGGGTACTGGCTGACCGGTGCAAAGTTACGTCTTCTTCCTTGAGACGCGTGTCGCATATCTCGAGGCTCTACTGGGCGAGCATGCCGTCGACTTCCAGCCTGCAGAAAACTTCAACCCCCCTTTCACTTCCAATAGCCTCGTCCCACCCCAGCCAGCTGCCGAACCACTACACCGCAATGGCAGCACCACTGCTACCACAGCCAACAACAACACAACCACCACCAACACTACCAGTACCAAGGCCACGGCAGCGCAGACCAAGGAGGAGAATGACAAGTACGACCGCGAAAAGCTCACTAAGCTCGTGTCCAATATTGGCATGGTCTCAGTGCAGGGCGCCAGTGACCCACGATACCTGGGCTCCACCTCGGGCATCTCCTTTGCCCGCGTCGTGTTTGCTGCAGTCAAGAGCTCCGTGTCTGGCTCGTCGTCGGAGCGTGGGAGCAATCGCGGCGGCAAGGCGACCAGCAATGTGGTCGACAGTGGCACTTCCATGCGCGACTCGTTCTTTGGCCTGCAGACCAAGCCATCCATCCGCCAGGCACCCTTTCCCGACCGCGAGCTGGGTTCGCGTCTTGTTGAGCTCTACTTTGAGCACGCCAACCCGCAGATCCCAATCCTACACCGCGGCGAGTTCATGGACATGTTTGAGCGTGTGTACACGTCGGGAGAGCGGCATCGCACATCACGCGAGTCGTACATGCTCAACATTGTGTTTGCCATAGGCGCCGGCATCATACTGGGCAGCTCGGACGCTCAGGAGTCGCCCAACTCCGATCATACTCGCTCGCCCAACAGGTCGCGCTCGTCCCCGCCAAGCCACAAGAAGCGGCGAGTGGCAGGCGTCCAGCACCAACCAGAGGAATACCATGCGTCAGCGATTGTGCACCTCGAAAACTTCCTTGGATCTTCGCCCGCAGCGGACCGGCCCGACGGCTTCGGCGGGGGACTGGAAGAGCTGCAGGCTGTACTCCTTCTGGCCGGTTTTGCGCTACTTCGTCCCGTTGCCCCTGGGCTGTGGTACATTGTGGGTGTCGCTGTCCGTCTGGCCGTCGACCTGGGTTTACATTACGAAGACGGTGTAGGCATTGATGGGCATGGCTCGGAGGACCACCCTACTGGGAAGACGGAATTCAAGACAGAGGCCAATAATGGCCATGGCTCAGCCACGGCTACCAGCACCACTGCGATGCCCTCCAAGGTGGATGCAAAGGAACGAGGCCGCAGACAGTGGGTCAGAGATTTACGCCGGCGTCTGTGGTGGTGCGTTTATTCGCTGGACCGTCTTGTGAGCACTTGTGTTGGCAGGCCTTTTGTAAGTTAACTTTTTTTGTCATTGTACTGCATTTATCCTGCGTTTTTTTTTCTTACCTGCAGCACGGCTGTGTAACGACCGACATTGGTTGAACACGCCACCAATATGCAACATGTCTCATGCTTGGGTCCGGATAGGAAACCGACCCTATGGCTGCTGGACCTCCTGTCAAAGCACATGGCGCTAGGATCGACGCCGACATCCGCGGAGGAGTACTGACATCGTGCAGGGCATCACTGATCAGGTTGTGACCACTGAGTTCCCCTCGCTGCTCGATGACCGTTACATTACCAAGGAAGGCTTTCTCGACCCACCAGCCCATCAAGAGCGCCCAACGTACAAAGTAATAGCCCACCACTACTTTCGCTTACGACTGCTGCAGTCTGAAATCCTGCAGGTCCTCCAGCACCGGCAAGCACAACAAGCCCGGGCAAGCGGTGCCAACCAAGGCAATGAGTTCATGCATACGAAACTGCCTTCGCCTTTTCTTGCCCACTTCGAATCCTTCCGCGCTTGGCGAGTGGATATTGATAGACGTCTGCTTGAATGGAAGGATTCAGCTCCGACCCAATCGGACGCCGGCGTGCAATTCTCCCCCTTGTTCCTCGAGCTTAACTACTGGCAGGCATTGATTATGCTGTATCGGCAAAGCCTCGTGGTACCGACCGGGCTGCAGAGTGAACTCGGCAACACGGGTTCAGACGTCGGAAGTCCGTCCATGATCAATGTTGAGGATCGAGAGGACGAGGACTTGGTTTTTCTCAAGGTGGCTGAAGCGGGTCAGAAGGTGCTGAAGCTGTACCGGCAACTACACCGCGTCCATTTAGTCAACTACACTTTTCTGGCCACGCACCACCTCTTCATGGCTGGTGAGTCAAGTCCATGCCTACAACTGCTCGCCGCTGACTTCTCCCCAGGTATATCCTTTCTCTATGCGGTGTGGCACAGCGTCCATGTACGCAGCTTACTGGTATGTATAGCAGGACGAATTCGGTGCAACATTGATCGCTGGCCTCACAGCTGAAAGGAAACATGGGTGCTGACTCTCCTGCAGTCCCTCGACGATGTCGACTTCACCGTCCTTGCCGCAACCTCTGTACTCGGTGACCTGATCGACAAGTGCCCACCTGCAGAAGCCTGTCGTGACGCCTTTGACCGGATGAGCAAAGCGACCATACAAATGTGCATGTCCACCACCGGCTTCGGCGCACATGCCCTGCGCTCCCTACCCCAATCACAACCCTACTACGCCCAGCAGCCATCGCCCACCTACTCGGTCAACGATGCCCGCTCCGACGCCGAAAGCCAAGCATTTGGCTCGCGACATACAAACCACTATGTCAGCCAGCAGCAGCAGCAGCAGCAACAACAACAGCAACAGCCCCGCCGCCCAGCTCCTCGCTTCGACATGGACCTCAGAGGCCTCTTTTCACCAGACGAGACCGACAAGCGCTCGTTCAGTCGTGTATCCAACCAGGTTCATGCCATGCAACCCCCTCCTCCCCCTTCCGCCATCAAACTAGAACCCCCTTCCACCCCTTCCTCGCACCACAACCACCACCAACACTTCACCGCCGACCTGAAAATCTCGCCTCAACTCCGCTCACACCAACATCAACATCAACATCACGCTCAACACCCTCACCAGCCCCATCACACACAAGACCAACCGTTTTATACTCCTCCTTCTCCCCAACCACCACTCCATCACACTCCATCACAACCTCCAACTCAACCCTCACACCTCTCCGACCCTTATCCACTTGCCGATACCCACACTCTGTCTTACCAGGCCTTCAGTCCCCTCGCACACTCTGCTTTCGCAGACCTCGCCGCCGTCGGCTATGAGGACTTGGAGTTTTTGAGTGAGATGCGGGGGGGTCTTGGGGGTTCTGCTGGTGGCGGTGGCGGTGGTAATGGTAATGCAGATGGAGATGGGGTTGGGGGTCCGGCGGGTCCAACGGCCAGCGCAATGCAGGATTTGGGCATGGGGTTGGGGTTGGGATTGGGTGATGGGACGCATGATTGGAGTGAGGGGAATGGGTTTGACTTGTTTGAGGGGTTTTTTTTTGGGCCGGGGGGGTAGGGGGGTGGGGTCTAGGGTAAGTGTCAAGCGGTGTATAATAATCGTGCTAGTAAGGCTGGATGAGGTAAGGTAGCGAATTGTGGTTAGTAGAGGGGATGGAGAAAAGGAATCATCTGAGAGGTTGTTGGTTTTGCTGGGTTTTGGAGGAGGAGGACGCTTGGCTAAGGTGGGCTTTGCTGGTGGGGCTGGTGTATGGTGGGGTGTATTACTAGTATATGGTAGGGGAGGGAGGGAGGGATATGAAGAGATGAGGAGACAATGTCTGTATGAAGCAATGTTTCTTACTGTGGTGAATGGTTTAGTAGATGAATCGAGACTTGACGGTCTAACCTCTACACACTGCGACTTTCAACGTAGTCCAGATGGACAATTGACGACGATGCAGCATCACGCTTCTTACCTTGCCGAGGGCCCAGAAGCTGGTTATTCCTATGAGTGCAGAAATCAGCCAGATCAGATATCCAGGGTACGTGTGTGTATACAAGTTGAGTCGGCCAGAGTGCCACCTAGATTGACAATCCGGGCAGAAGAAGAGGGGACGGGCGGGAGGATGTATACGGCACGCGTGACGCGTGGGTGGGGTTCGTAGCATAGCAACGAACGCGATTGTGGAACGTGCGTTGCAGGGGAAAAAGGGCGGTTTTGTTGGGTTGCGGCGCACGATGGACGAGGCACGGGAGCTCGTGCTTGGAATTGAGGGAGGGGCGGGGAGGGTGGAAGGGATGCGGCTGGCTATGTATTGTGGGTGGTTGTAGGCTTGGTTGTAGATGGTGATGGATGTCTGATAACTTTGTTGGATGGTGATGGATGTCTGATAACTTTGTTGGATGGTGATGGATGTCTGATAACTTTGTTGGATGGTGATGGATGTCTGATAACTTTGTTGGATGGTGATGGATGTCTGATAACCTTGTTGGATGGGGAAGAGGATCCGTTCATGGCGATGATGCAACAATACTGTAATTACCAGCCTGCCTACTGTGCGTTGAATAGATAGGTACCGAGTGCGCGCGAGCCATGTTCATTGACAATAAAGTATGCTAGCCTAGCCCTAGGAGGCTCAGGGCGGGATGCAGAAAGCGAGGGCCAAGGAGTGGTGTGGTGGTGGGCGTTGTTATTGTAGTATTTATTGATGGACATGTTGACGGCGGCCGGGGTGGGCGATTGTTTTGCCGTTGTTCATTGTTTGTGTTCCTCGCTCGGTTGCTGTGCAGGAAGTTCGGGTGCATCGTTCGCGCGACGATGCGCCAGTCTGCTTGGGGACTAGTGGCATTGCGCTGCCTTCCATCATCATACACACCAGCCTCCACAACAAACCCTCGCTTTTGCAGACAAGACACCAGCTTCTACCCACCCTGACCTGCCTCCCGCCCTTTCTCTCTCGCTCACTCAATCGCCTGTTGCTTGCTGTCCCCTTTGCCCTCGATATCTGCTTCCTACTGGCATGGCTGAAACGCGCTGCTAGAGATCCCTGGACGTGCCTAAACCCCCCGTCGCGTCGTGAGCTTCCCACACTCGCACCTGTCCCTCTTCTATTCACAGGAGCAGCCCGCCGCGTCATATCTCCGGCTTTATA